CAAAAATCTAGGAAAACATTACTGCTGTTTGTTTTTGTAAAAGATTATGTTTACAGCACATTCGTCACAATTTTTACAGTATTGCGGAATTGCAGCAATTTACAATTTAGATCAGTAATTTTGATTTACAGTTTTCGGTAAATTTCTATAAATTACGGAAATTCAGCAGTTTTGATTGCGGAATATTGGTAAATCATTACTTTTTACAAAACTTTCGGCAAAAATTATATTTTACAGAACGAATCCAGCAAAAAAAAAGTACCGAACAAGATTTAAGAGATTTGGTGTGTACGTAAGTTAGGTTGGACGGCTTTTCCTCTCCCGTCATATGAAGCACGTTGCTTGCCGATCATCATTCAAACGTTGAAAGAACGTCGGGATTACGCAAAGATTTATTTATTAAACAATATTATTTCGCAACGCATTGACTCAGCTGATCAAAGTTAAATTTTTATGCACCTTCCCGACAATTACGCAATCGACAGTTGTTCGCAGTAGATCGCCATCGGACCAATTACGCTAAATCTGGACCTGTAAATCAGATGATGACTGTTTATAATCATCATTGTGAAATGATTGACCTAAATATGCCCTCAACAGAATTAAAAATATATTTCAGAACCCTGCGTAGTCATAGAACATAAGTCCTAATGTTAATATGTAGTCTACGATTTGATTGATTGACGAATAAATAAATAAATAAATGCGATACAACGAGTGAATGAGGTGTGCAACTAATTTCTGATCAAGAAATTCACCCAGACCTAGTTTAACAGCATCGAAAAGAGTACCTTGAGAAATTGTAGAATATAATAAAATGAAATGTAATCATTGCAATCCAATGACATTTGTGTGAATATATCTGGCATTGTATACTGCACCAAAAGAATAGGGAAGGGAGGGGGTACTCGCTTTCAAACTGCTCTTATGAGATTGAGCAAAATAACTCGAGAAATGGGAAACTCCGAAGTTATTTTAGTCTTTATGTTTATTTTCATTGATATAAGTGAGGGGCGGAAAGGATACAGTAAGCTCCCCCCCCATATCGAACTACGCCTATTAAATGTAGCACATGCTTTTGAATACATCTGAACATACCAACTTGACATACCATTTATATGAGTGAAGGGGCGGGGTATCGTTAGCTCCCCCCCCCCCCTCATCTCTTAATATGCATATGAGATTGAAAAATTGTTTTTAAATAATTCATATGAACATACCAAATCGAAACTCCGAAGGTATTTTAGTTTGAAACTTTATTTCTATTGATATGAGAGAAAATTGCCAAGAAGTATGGAATTCTATGTCGATTGAAAAACGATTTAACTATTGCCAGTAAAATACAGCTATACAAATCAATCATCTTTCCTCATGTAGACTTTTACCGAAGACTTCATATCAAGAAGACTGGCAACTTTGCCAGAACCCAAGCGACAGATACAATATTTATTTCCATTTCGTCAAGCCAGTGTAGACTACATACAATGATTATTACAATGTTTACTTACATACTATGCATTAATTCTATTCTGTTTTAGCTTAGTTTGTATTTGCTGCTTGGACATAGTGATGTCAATAGTTCCGCAATGCAAATTATATAGGCGCATCATTCGATTGATTGGGCTATTTTTTGCATAGTTTGTTCTGTACGATGTTTCTGAAAATAAATTCCGTGTTCTAAGATATCGACAAGGTGTGTAAAAATTTAATTGTGCGAGAATTTCTGCCGAATCTATGCGCATTGAAATTATGTCGTTGATGAAGAAAAGCATTGCAAATTGGCGGCGCTCCTTAAGTGTTTGTATATTGATGAGCATGCAGCGCGCTTCATAAGATGGTAATGGAAATGCAGTCCAATTCAATTTACGTAAAGCATATAAAAGGAATTGGTTTTGGACAGATTCTATGCGTTCTTCGTGTATGGAAATGTATGGATTCCATACTAGGTGGCAGTATTCCAGAATTGGCCTTACATATGTGGTATATAAAAGCTTAATAGTGTATGGGTCTTCGAAATTATGACTGAACCTTTTGATGAAGCCTAGCATTCTGTTTGCTTTACTAATGATAGTATTATAATGTTCTATGAAAGTTAGTTTGGAGTCTAGGATTACACCTAGATCTCTTACAATTTTGCTTTTTTCTACTATTTGGTTGCCTAATGATATTTCAATATGCGGTGTTTCAATTTTTCTGCTAAATGCTATTGCAGTACATTTTTTTACGTTCAGTTTAAGTAGACTTTTACTACACCAGGTGTGGAATATATTGATTTCATTCTGGAATTCTTCTGCATCGCTAGAATTACTTATTTCCATAAAGAGCTTCATGTCGTCTGCATATACAAGCAATTTTATTTTTTTAAGTATGTAGGAAATGTCGTTTATGTACAAAATAAAAAGAAGTGGGCCTAAATGAGAACCCTGGGGTACCCCAGAGGTGACTGAAATTGGTTCTGAAAGTTTATTTTGAAAGCGAACTATTTGTTTACGATGTGTTGGGTATGATTGAAGCCAATTCAAAAGTCCAGGCTCCATTCCTATTTTCTGCAATTTGAGGATTAATAATGGTATGTCGATGCGGTCAAATGCTTTACTGAAGTCGGTGTATAGCGCTTCAACGTGCTTGCCACTGTCCAACGCTTTAATAATGAAAGATACATATTCTAGAAGATTAGAGGTAGTTGAACGACCTTTAAAAAAGCCGTGCTGTTTACTTGTAATTAGATTTTTCACCTGCTGAAAAATATTGCCGTTTACGATTGATTCAAAAAGTTTTGGAATGCAAGAAATAATAGCAATTCCACGATAATTTCGAATGTCTGATTTTGCACCTGATTTGAAAATAGGTACCAAATAAGATGATTTCCAAATTTCAGGGAATTTTCCATTTTTCAGAGACATGTTGAAAAGACGCTCTAGAGGAAATGCGAGTTCTTCAGAAAGGTTTTTCAAAAATATGGGTGCGATGCCGTCAGGTCCAGACCCTTTCGACGCGTTTAAGTTTTTTAGTGCATTGAGGACTTCATGTTGAGAAAGTTGGTTGACAGAGATGTTTTTAGAAATTTCAGGAATGAATGCAAAGAAATCGCGGTCACGATCTTCTTCGGAAAATGTGGTGTATACTTCTTGGAAGAAATTTGCAAAGAGACTGCAAATTTCAGAAGAATTCTCACCTACATTTGCATCCAAATTCATTCGCGAAGGAAAATTGCTGCTTTTTAATTTCGTGTTTACATAATTAAAAAAGTTCTTAGGACATGATTTGACTTCATTTTCGACTTTGCGGTTATAGTCCTCATATGCAGAGTTGGTGGCTGTATGTAATTGGTTGCATAAGTTGTGATAGTTTCGCAAATTGTTTTCAGTTTTTTCGTTTTTGTATAGTTTATGAGCTTTCTGTTTTTTATTCTTCAAATTTTTCAGTTGTGGATTGAACCATGCGCTGCGCTTGAGTGAAGGTGGAAGCAACGCATAGAAAAATGAGCAAATACACAAACCCTTCTTCTGAGGATGTAATCTTTGCTATCAAATTCGTTCGAAGCATTTTCCTTTGAGCGGCAAATGAAGCGATTATACCTGTCTCATAGCGTTCGTATGAGAAAATGGAAGAGTTGCCAGTCTTCTTGATTTGTTGTCTTCGCTTTTACCCTTCCATTTTATGTTACAAAATATAAGAGACATTGCATTTCACACGTTAAAGATGTCTTTTGAACAGTTATCTAATGATTTTTTTTTTAATGAATTGAAAAATTAACGAAGTTTTTAACGGATTATTTTATATGGATAGCTGTCATAACGACTTTTCAAAAAATATTGTGTTTGCCACGATGGTGATAATTGATTTTTAATATTTGATTTAATAGTAGTAGACTAAAACAAAGTAGTCTACAAAGGTTTGAACTCGCGCACGTATTACGGATTTAGAGGACTGAATTTAAAATTTGATAAAAAAAATGCAATTTTGAAGATTATTTGGAAGATACCTTCAGTTAGTAGTAAGTTTTCTGGCATATGTCGGGGGTTCCTGACATTGCTGAAAATTATGATAGCATCAGATTGCGGGGTTGCTAGTATAAAAGGATGCTTTGTTGATTGTTCATTAACTCTTGATCGCTTGAATATTTTAGGTGGACAAAAAGACGAACTAAGGCTGTGTCCCATTTGTTGAATTTTCACTTAAATTTGGCAGATGGAATTTTTTTAAATAAACCTGCTAGAATAGCAAATTTATTACTGACAGACAAGAAATCAGTTTTGACAGACACATTCTCGAAAATCGGCCGATCAACAATAGAGGGATTTTCGAACATTTCCATTTTAAAACAGCAAAAAAAGGTTATCTTCCATTTACTTCCACTTTATACATTTGGTCTTGCTTTGTAGCTGCGCCTTTACCAACTGAGCTAAGGGAAGCCCTATCCTAATGGGACTGTTTTGCGCTTATGGGTAGTATAGGTCGGAATTGTTTTTTTTTTACGAAGTTCGATAGCTTAGTGGTTACCGTTTCTGCTTACTGAGCAGAAGGTCGAGATTTCAATCCCAGGCCCGTCCCCTTCCTTGCAAATTTGTACTATTTATCCATACTAGATTTAAATAAAAACAGTCGTATCACTTACCACAGTGAATCTTGATCTAAAAATAACCCAACCCACTAACACAACTATCCTTCCCGTAGCAATTGTGTAAGATGCTGAAGTAAACTCGGTATATATTAACCAACGATTGTCGAACTAATAATCATCCTGTCCCTCCCCAAAGACCGTGTTGACGTGACGGCGTCGGTACTGATCTATACATAGAATGAATCAGTGAACTTGGACATTGAAGATCTGATCCCAAGCTCCATCTATGTAGCTCTTTGTGCAATTTCACTGGTTCTGATTAGTAACGGAGTAGCAACTACGGCGCGCACGGTCTTTAAATAAAAGTATAGGTTGGAATTATTTTTCGATAATAATTGTGAAATGAAAGCTAATTGTTTATTTATTTTTATTACAGGCTGACAAAGAGCCAATGCACACCATTATTCATGTTAGCGTATCGTGACAAAAATGCTGGAGCAGTGATTCACACTCACAGTCAAGCTGCTGTCATAGCAACACTTCTGTAAGTATTGGATTAAGGCCACAATCAATTCTGTAATACATATAATGATGGCTGTTGTAAACATATAACATACAGTGGTGGCCATTTAAATAAGACATTTTCATACAACACCAATATTCATGTTAGCATATCGTGACAAAAATGCTGGAGCAGTGATTCACACTCACAGTCAAGCTGCTGTAATAGCAACACTTCTGTAAGTATTAGGTTCCACGCAAAATGACGAATACATCAGACTCGACCTTCTCCAATATATGCATAATTGTTTGATATGGGCAATTATGGAAAGACTAGAATCTTTTTTTTTTTGCTATTTCGCCCTGAACTGCCCTATACGATTTATAAAAGGACTGAATTCATGTCATGTTTTCAGAATTATGAAATCATTAGATGTTATAATGATATTTTTTTAATATACAAGTAGAGGTTGCGTTGGACACATAAAACCCGTAAATTTAGTTTAATGAGAGTAGCAAACAGTGATTATACCAATTTTCACTCACTCAGCGATCATAAAGTCGATGATTGTGACTCTTAAAAAACTAAATCGACAAATGCAGGTCACCAGACTAGACGATACACGCGACGTGATGCGACATATTCAAACATAACTTCTTATAATAATTATCATAAGCTCATAAGATACTCATAAGTCGTAAAGCGAAATACTTGAAAACTTTTTCAAACATTTGTTCATAGACTCTGGGAGAGAAGCTCAAATTAACATAAACATATTTTGTAGGTGTTGTTTATTCAATATCACAAATAATGGTTGGTACACTTAGGAGCGGTGCTGTGTTACGTAGAGAATGGACAGCATTATTGAAAAGCGTTATATGCATCGATCACGAGTGGAAGTGGGAACGACACGTATACATTCATATTTTAAGATAACCAACTGTTGGGAACGAGTGTACCCCATTAGGCATAAATACGTTAGGCATACGGACGTTAGGCATACGGACGTTAGGCATAATGGACGTTAGGCATAAAGTCGTTAGGCATAATATACGCTAGGCATAATGGACGTTAGGCATAAAATACCTTGCTGCTGTGCAACTCTAGAAACCTGCTTAACCTGTAAACCTGTAAACATTGCTTAAATTAGGCTTAGCGTTGAATAAAAAATGATACAAGTTAAACAAACATAGTTTATTTAATAAGCACAGTTTGGAATCCATTATTAATCATATCATAAGTGACGTATCTTCATATTTACTTAGATCCATGATTAGTAGCGATAGTGGAAAACTCAGCTTAGTTTTGAACTATATCTTGAAATCAATCGCATCTAGAAATAAAAAAATCACACATTTGTTGTAATATATTCTTACACACATATTGCAAAAGTCAAAGAAGAAAAGGTTTTCCTCAAAGAATAGCTCATGAAATAAAGAATGGTGAATTCTGTGATTTTTCATTCAATAACAAAAAAAACAGCCAAGGTTGAATAAAATATGATGCCAAAGAACAGCTCATGAAATCAAGAATGGTTAATTCTGTGGTTTTTCATTCAATAACAAAAAAACATACCTGCTGCTTCCAGGATTTCCTGCCATACTTTTCGATACAACAATTCTGATTTTGTTGTCATCAGAATGAAAACTAGCGGAACCGTCTGCTGATGTGAGGGAGCGATACTTCCATGAACAGTGACGAGTTGCCGAAATAAACAAGGAACTGTGGCAAACGTACCATCGGTAACCCAATACTTTGCCTGTCCAAGACGTCGCAAGTTTTCATGAGTTCCAAAAATTAAGGCTCTTTCATTATTGTCACCGAAGTCAGCAATCAATAGACGGTCTCCATTATCATCCTTCTGGAATTCATCCGGTATATTATGCCTAACGTCCATTATGCCTAACGTCCTTTATGCCCAACGTCCATTATGCCTATCGTACATTATGCCTAACGTCCGTATGCCTAACGACCATATGCCTAACGTCGTGCACCCGTTGGGAACATGGACATCCCGAACGATCGCTACCAACACCAACACTGCTGAGCTCACTGGTAGCAGAGCTGAACAACACGACATATATGTTCGCAAAGCAAGTCACTGAGGACTACAAAACGTTCGCCTACCGGGTGAACAAACTGTGTGTCGAATTCGAACTTGGGAAGCTTTCGGAGAACTAGTTCAAATGCCTCATGTTCGTCTGCGGGCTGAAAGCGGGAAGCGATGCGGAGGTCAGAACCAGGTTGCTGAGCAGAATCGAGGAGCGGAATGACATCACGCTGGAGCAGATTTCGGACGAATGTCAACGGCTTCTGAACCTCAGGCGATGATAGAGGCAGCGTCTTCGTCGACAGCAGTGCAAGCATTGAAGCGGAAGCAGTTCGGTGGGAAGCATTCCCGCTCAGGACGTGGATCACCAGGTTCAAGATCCCCGAATCAGCGAGGTGTCGTTCCAGCAACGCCTTGTCGGAACTGTGGCGCCACGCACTATTCCAAGGACTGCCCCTTCCTCAAAAATCGGTGTAAGAAATGTGGTCAGGTGGGCCACAAAGACGGGTATTGCTCAAGCGCCAAAAAGGTGAATTCTCCAGGCAAGCGGTACTCGTTCAAGCCGATGGTAACTAGAAGCGTGCAGGTGAAGAACGTCCGGAAGCGTACACTGAACCAATATGACATATTCCTGTTATGTGGAAATCTCATAAATTTGCGCTATAAAATAATCCATTGAAAATGATATGATTGAAAATGTGTCAGGTAAATTCCATATGAATATCTGATACATTTACAATGCTGGTAATTTGGTAACTTTATATGATCGTCATATGATAAATGAAAATCGGTCAAATTATAATAATTAACTGAAATGGATTTGAAACCCATAAGCATAAGCTTTACTTTTCACCACAATATAATATATGTGTCATAAATCAATCGAAGTAAAGTTTATAAGATAATCACATTTTCTTCTTTTGACACATACATTTAATCGATTTCTAAAAATAAATCGAAAATAAACATCAGGCCGTGGGAGTTTTCACAGTTGTCTTTTTTATTGTAGCTGATTTGGGATTCGATCCATAACTGTTGAGGTGTGAATGATTTCGGTGTCTGCGCTCGATCCCACTGGGCCACGGCTGATTTCAATATTGAGCTCGTTCAATTAACATGAAGTAAGAACAACTCTCCCGACATGGAATGTAGTGCAACGTTATGCTCGTTTTGCTAGAAGGAAGAAAAATAACACTGACAAATTTATACTCCGTTTCGGTGGTTACACGAATTCAAATCTTTCTTAATGCTCCTGTGTGCAATAAAACAACGACTACATTATATGAGTTCATGTTACTTGTTCATGAAGTTCGAGTACTAGTGCTGGAATCTGTATTAGCCGTGTAGAAGGCTTACAATTAGAATATTAGCAAAGTAAATATTGCAGTAGAATCATTTTTTTTTCGAGCTCAATACATTCTTTTCCGCAACCCCTTATCTAATGAAACAATAACAAACAAAGATTATTCAATACAGTATCATTGTCGTTAGCAATATTTAGCTCAACTAATCATTTTAATAAGTGTACGATAACATCGTTGAAAATTGTTTCAATAATTTATGAAGAACAATCATGTGTATTTTATTGGGAGCGATATTCATCCCGAGGGGCTATCAACTTGAGTATTTTCGATTCGGCTACACGACTTGAAAAGTTGTATTTTATATTTTTTCGTATTTATGTATTTTTATGTTTTGTGAATTTTTGTATTAAAGTGTATTAAATTCATTATCAAATGTATTTTTCGTGAACAAAGTATTTTCGAGGTATTTTAGAGTGTTTTTATTAGGGTATTTTAGTTTCAGCGTGTACGCATTTACGTATTTTTTGTGTATTTTACGAAGTCTGTAATTACAATTCAGCTGATTAATGAAGTTGATCGCCCCTATTCATCTCAGAAAACCATGCCAAAACAAAGGTTTTCTGTTGGATTTCTTAAAAGGCAAATCTATATGACTATATAATGATTGGGATAGATCTGTTTACAATCTTTAAACCTCAAAAATCAAAGGAAGCTATACATGTTTTTCTATACTGCAAACTTAAATGACTGTCCAATAGTTTCTACATGGCTGTTAACACGCGACATATCAACAAACGTCAAAAATCGTTAAAAGCAACTCCAATAAAATATGCATGATTATTAGACTGAGGCAAAATTTGAAATTTTCGCCCCAAACGGTTCCAAATTGGGTCCTGATTAGCCTCTCAAAATTTGAACTACTTTAGTAAAAAAATGACTTGGCACAAACCATTTCAAGTTTATATGGGAATTACTATGGGAGAACTTATGTTTTTGTTGATATCTATCTAACAATTCACCACATCATTATGCTTTTAAAAATGATAGCAGTGATTGTAGCAAATTTTCTCGGCTACATCTTTGTTGAAAACCACTTTTCAATTAAATGTAAGGAACAGTAGTTATTAATGATTCAAGTCACTGATGTCTTATGATTATGCTCATTCAACTGTTCAGCAGGCAACATTGGTGTTTCTGGTGCGAAGAACAGAGCACAAATATCATGGCTACTATGTCACATTGCAGAATCCAGTGTTGCCCACAAAACAGCTGCTTGATCATGCCATAAGATTATCAATCTCTTAAACAATTAATAACTACTTAATTTGACATTTGACTGAAAAACGATATTTCGCAAAGTTGTAGCTTAGAAAATTTTCCGTAAGAATAGAAATAGAAAAGCAATATGGAAAATGGGTAGAAGACAATGAACAAAAAGTTTAGTTTTCCCATAGTAATTTCCATATAAACTTCGAATGGTTTGTGCCAAGTCAGTTTTTTACCAAATGAGATTAAATTTTGGGAGGCTAATCAGGACCTGATTTGAAACCGTTTGAGCAGTGTGGAGCAAAAATTTCAAATTTTGCATCAGTCTAATGATTATCTTATAAGATATATCTTTTAGTGAGCAATATTCATCATGAAAACAGGTATATTTTATAGTGCAAACTTATATGATTTTCCATTAGTTTCTAGATGTCTGTTCTCACCCATGACATATCAACAGTTTTTCACCATGAAATATATCAGACAATATTCAAATACGTCTTACCTATCGCTAACCACGTACGAAGCAAAGTTTTATCAAGTACTAAGTATGTGAAATTACGATAGAAATCATTCCATATCGCAGTCATAGTTTTTAAGTGATAATCCAATGGAATCTATCAATCATCACATAGAATGAATAAATCTGCTGACATTTCTATGTTATAAGATGGATCCAATAAACGGTGCATGTCGATTTGTTTCAGTGTAGGAGATTTGTGAAAGCGGAAGTCAACGGCAGGTAGATCAGTCTCCAACTCGACACTGCGTCGGATATCAGCGTCATTTCCGAGCAACCATGGCGGCATATAGGAAAACCCACAGCAATTCCTGCAAAAATTCAAGCCGCTACTTCATCGGGCAAACCCTTAAAGCTGGAGTTTCAGTGTTCCTGTGAAGTTGCAATCAAAGAGGAGAAGCATCAAGGTCGATTTTTCGTGGTCAAGCAGCAGCTCAATCTTCGCTTGGCTGGCGCACTGCAAGGTCTTCAGTCAAATCGACCTTTCAAATGCGTTCTTGCAGGTGGAGGTGGATGAAAGCTGTCGAGAGCTGCTCACCATCAACACACATCGAGGTCTCTATCGGTACAATCGGCTTCCACCGGGACTTAAGGCAGCACCCGGAGCGTTTCAGTAGCTTGTGGACACAATGCTCGCTGGACTCAACTGCACTTCGGGGTATCTCGATGATGTTCTGGTCGGCGGAGTCGACGAAGCGGAACATTGGCGCAACCTTCAAGCCATCCTTCGTCGTATTCAGGAGTTCGGATTCACCATCAAAGCGGAAAAGTGCTCGTTTGGCCAGCGTCAAATCAAGTATCTGGGACACGAGATGGAGATGGGCATCAGGAGTGATTCTGGAGCGAGTGGGACAGGTGATGTTCAACGTGTGGGTTGAAGACAGGCGGATGATTTGTTCGCACATCAACCAGCTGAGAAGCCGAACAAACGCCGACAGTAAGTCAACGTCTGGCTCGATTCCGTCCAAGACAGACAAGCAACAGTTGCCTCTGGACATCTTACTACGAGCCTGGAACCTGCACAAGCCAACCCAGTCACAACCAACAGGTCCATCCACATTACCGAGACCATCACCGTCACCGGTTGCACAAACGCCATCAACACTCTAAACGCCGGTTGAACATTCGACACCACAGCAAGTCTTGTCATCCACGCCAGCTTCTCCGAGCCTAGTTTGGGTTACTCCGGAATCGACAACTTCGTCGACAACAGACCTTGCTCAGCCATCGTCTACGTCCGTAGTCCCATCGTTCTCTACAACAAGCCATGTGTCACTTACATCAGTAGAAACCGAAACAGCTGTCCAGGTATCTCGCCGCTCTTCACGTCTATGAAGACCACCGATTCCCGAGCAAAGTCGGTTGAAAGCAAAATGAAAGCAAATCGATATTAAAGTTTGCAGTTCCTATCATAATGAAAACTCATTTTGATTTCAATTGTCGCGACAGAAGTCTAATATCATATTGTGCTTTCATTATGCAGTCAAGACTTTTTAATTCAAAGCAATTTAACTTGAAGTTCTGCTGTTAATTTCTTGTTTAAAATTTGATTTATGTTCATCTGTCCTTGAACTAACGATTATTGTTTATTTGTTTTGTTTAACACATTTTAGGTCATTCGTGACTAGCCCGAGGTGACATTTGAGCTCAAATCGTTCAGCGTGAGAAGCATGGATGCTAACCAATTTACGACAGGCCCGTATTCAGTCAAACATTATGAATGCAAAATCAGTAATCAAGTTGATTTCATTGAGAGCAGAATTAGTTTTCCGTTTGATTCAACAGTGTAATATTTTGCTCTCATTTTTGCTGTGTTAACCGTTAAGTCAACCAAAATGAGATCAAATGGAGTCTTCAAAATAAGTTACATCTGAACAGCAAATTCTGATTTCAATTTGATCTCTAACTTTGCTCGGGTTAGGTTCGACCCGTACCAGCTGTATTAAGAGGGGAGATGTTGGGAACATGGACATCCCTAACGATCGCTACCAACACCAACACTGCTGAGCTCACTGGTAGCAGCTAAGCTGTCACCCGTAGATGCACGAACCGGCATAAGAAAGAAGAACAACACGACATATATTTTCGAGTCCGTCATCTTGTATCGTGTGCGCTTCCCGCAAGTCAATGTATACTTTTAGTTCGTTTAGCTTAGTTAGTGCGTTCGTAACACCAACAAAAAATTTTTTGAAATCTTTTTAAATTTCGA